AAAAATAATAACAAACGCAAGCATTTCGCGGCAAAGGCCGCCGTTATTGTAATTTTATTACGCACTCCACGAACTAAAAGCACGGAACACGCTTCATGGAACGCACTTCGATGCCAGGACATAACACAACACACAGCACAAAGCACAAAACACTTCCCAACACTAAACAACGGCGCAGCGCAGGATTTCAGGGCGCTGTTGAGTAAATTGAATGCGAAGGACTGCATGTGTACCTAGAATTTCCATGCAGCGCACAAAATCAAAATGTGTTTATCAATGTAATGAGCTCATATTTCAAGCGAATGCAAACATAAATATGCCGCACCAAAACACGTCTCCCTGTGCATAGATACGCGCAAACAGATACGCGTCCCTTCATTTATTAAGGATATAAGAGGACATAATCATAATCATAAGCAAACTAATACAGCGCAGACACGCAAATTATCTGTGACTAGATGTGAACGCGTTTGCTGACAACAAATCCAGAGCTATAAAAGTGAAAACGTGTCTATGAGATATTAAAATCGGCACTGTCCGAAAAATGGGTGTTGCTTCCGAAATTTTATAAAGTAATTTTTCACACATTTCGCATCAAAAAAAAAAAAATATGTGGACATATACAAAAGAATTTATTAATAGGAGTACTCATACAGCGCCCTAAAATTATATGTATTACCTTCCGCCTTATATTCTCCACAAATTTCAGTAATTAACACATGAAGTGTTGAGAGTTCGTATGCCCGGGTCCACTCAATGCAACCACAAATTTCATTTCAATCAATATGGACTGCATTACTTCTGATCCTGTTTATTGGTTCGTCTGTGTATGTGGCCTGTGTTTATATTAAATTTATATAAATTCACACTATCTGAATTACTTCCATTGACCGTAGTAACCAATTTTCGCTTCATTTGCCTCAAAAACCATTTGCACACACACCACTACTCTAGGTACTCGTATAGGGCGGACGAGACGAGATAAATTTGCGCTCTTCGTAGCCGCATCCAAATTACGGTCATTTTGATTATTTGATTTAATTTGTGGTGTTGTTCATTTATAAAATCGAAAACCATAAGAGAGAATGTGGAAGTGGAAGTGGAATCCTTTCACATAACTCAAAGCGTTAAATTACAATTTAGCCGTGTGCCTGCATTTTCCTTGATATCAATGCTTTACGACAAAAGAAAATTCATTGAACGTGAAATTCAAGTGTCATTCGCACCAATCGCACCAGACGTCGTCCCATACGTCCGCTTGTACAAAGACGAAGACGATTTGGTGCTAGGTGGGGTCCTTGAGCGACGATTTGCAGGCGGTCAATGGAAATAATCGAGCCTTAGGGATTACTGATTGCGGTACATTTTGTGTTAAGGATTAACACTGCTTGAATTATTTTTGATAAGAGTTTCTTCAGTTATGAAAACTATTGTTGTTGTTGTTGTTTTTGCTGATGAAAAGGATTGTTGCACGAACACAGAGAATAAATGAAATATTTTCAAATTCATAAAGGTTCAAGGATTTCATTAACATTTTTTTTTTTGATTTTATTCTATTTTTATAATTAATTTAGGTTTATAAATATAAAGAAAAAATATTTGTATTACTTTATATATATTTAGAATTACTAAAATTATTTTTTTAGGATCATTAAAAATATATAATTTAAATAAAGTATAATTGTTTCTTTTTTTGGTATTAAAAATAATTAAAATTTTTTTAATTTTAATGCGATTTGTCAATAAATAAATTGCGATACAAATGAACCTGAAATATGTTTAACAAGTGCTATGAAAATACAACACAACATTATTACGGAAGCAACTTTATTAAAAAGCATAATTAGGGAAACTGCTATCAGGAGCGGTTTTGCAACTAAGTGTAAAGGAATAAAAAATATGTTTAAAATTAAAATTGAAACCGTAAGAGCTTCTAAGTTGCTTGCAAGACCCAATTTTTCCGCCCTCCTTGCCTTAAATAGCATTTTTAACTCTTTGCCATAGGTACTATAAGATGATTTTATATCTCTGAGTTCTTCCATTTCATGGTACGACAATAACTCAACAGACCTAAGTAAATAGCTTTAAAACGCCGATACAACCTAATCTAACCTTGTCTGTGAGTACATTGTATGTCTTTAAGGATATTGCTTCATTACTAGATATGAAAAGTTTTCCAGAAACCGGTATCTTTTCAAGTAATTCAATTAATTGAAAATTTTATGTTGCTTGTGAGAATAAATAGTATATCGGAGTTTTGGATAAAGGATTTCAGAATAAATTCACTCGACAATTTGGAAATGATTAAACAAAAACATATTTAGTAATATCTTAACAATTTTTCATATATTTCTTATAATTGTCATCAAGTATTAGCTTTTAGAAATCTAAGTCTATGTATATGCATGACCACGGTCATTTATAAAGAAAATAATGTTACAGATATATATAATATATATATAATATATATAAAAATATAACGCACATATTGTACTAGCTTGTTAATATTCATATACATATTTTCTATAATTGGCAGTAAGGATTATCTGTTACAAATCCTAGTCTCTGTGTATGTCTGCCTATTACACATTACTCAGTCAGAAAAAAGATAATATCACCGATTTCGATTCAATTCAAAGTAATAAGTTTCTTAATTCAATAGAAATAATAATATTATTTAGCCAGTTAATTTTATATTTTGAGGTAAGCACTGCTGTATTGTTGTATTATATATATATACATATTTTTAATTTCTAGAATAATGACAAAAATTATAATAATTATTTTTTTTATTAAAAATAATATTACTATTTTATTTAATTTTTTTATTTTTATTAATATTTTTTATTAATAATAAAAGAATCATAATTATTTATTATTATTATTATATATTATAATTTATTTTTTATTTATTATTATTATTTATTATTGAAATTATTCTCTAATTATTAGAAAATATATATATCTTCATTAACAGATTTCTTCGGAATTAAAATGAATTAATTTTTTCACCCTTCAATCAAATTAAATCCGCTACTGACTTATTTTGATTTTGTTGAAAATAATTTTGCCATATTTTGGTAGATTTCTGCATAATTTTAACATTTTAATTATTTGCACAAATTAGTTTCAAATTTGTTTATATAATTTTGAGCTTTGCATAATGCAACAATGCACACAATATGCACAAATATTTTGCATTATAAATTATTAAATAAAAATTGTATTAGAAAATTTTACATTTCGAATTTAATTACTGTGAATAATTAAAATTTGTATCGACTTTACTATGACGCACCGTAAATTGCTTTTATTAATTTCGATTTCGGTCGAGAAATTAGCTTTTCTGAATGCACCGATCTAAAAAAAAATAAAATAAAATTTATTTAATTTCAAAATTAAATTTTCTTCTGAATAATTATAATTTCCACTGTAGTAGTAAACATTACTGAGAATAATCTATAAAGTTCAGAACACCACTATTAGTTGTGTGTAGTTCCAAGAAAAAGATCTGGTTCACCTCTGGGCCTTCTAAGCGACATTACTATTCAGTAAAATAAAGTTAACGCTCTTGCCAGTTAAATAGTGAGGATATAAAAGAAAATGTAATGATTTTTATTATTTGAAATTGATTTACCAATATCATGCTTACGAATTTTCGGATCTGCATGTCTCTAATAGTGAGACATTCCCGAATACGGAACTGGTTTATTTGTACAACTCCAAAGAGACGTCAGTATAAAGAAGTTAATATTGCCTTTAAGAACAAAAAAAGTTCGGACGACCTTATATTATTATATTATATTTATATTGAATTTGATTGAAATTAATATAAATATATTATATTTATATATATAAACTTATTAAATTTATTTTTGTATTTTGAAATATATTACATTATTTTTATAAACCCTTTTACTTTCATTAATCTTATTTAGTAATACATATTATTCTAATCCTATTACTAACCACGTTCCACTTACTACTTTACCTAATAATATTTCTTTCATCTAATTATATACAGTTTCCCCAAATATATAAAAAATACTTATAGATTTGATATTATAACTTTTGTATAATTTTAATACATATTTTTATAATTTTTATATATCATAACC